CATGTGTAAGGCTTTTTAGAAAATGCAGGAAAACTTAAGTAAAAATATCCAAGCAATTCTAAATCCCAACATAATTGGCTATCTCTAAACCCAGGGGAAGAGCATCAAAGTGAAAAGTTTCCTCTTAGCGACTTTGAGTGCCAATTATATTCATAGATGGCTGATCTTAACATACTAAAAGTCGGTAAGCGAGTTAACTTGCATAAACATCTTAAAGAGATCGCGGTGAAGGAAAAGTTGTACAAAGGGTTGATGTAAACGGGTTAATAGGGCGAAGTTTTCACGTGATATCACAAAATACGCATCAATGCGTACATAGAATTGAGAAATTTATTATTCGTTTACGATTAATTAAAAATATAAAATCTTAATGATTGAATACTTCAATACTACGCTTGAGAATCGATCAAATTAAGGGTTTATTAGCAGATACTGCAGATTACTGAAACGACAGTTAAATTTGTAACGTCATGTTAAATAACGCTTAAACCTCAAGTTCCATTATTTTTTTGTCGTTTTTTCAGATGTAGTTTAAGATAGAGTACGAGTAATGTTTAAGATTCGTTTCAATATTTGACCTTTATTGTAATTTTTAATAGAAACTGTACCTTCAGTTAGTCATTTGTAATATCAATCGTGGCTTTTGACTTCTGAAATACTCGTACAAAAAATTATTTCCATTTTTAATTCTCGTTTTAAAACCTTTGATATGTTTTGTACTAGTTTTTGAGCATTGAAAATTTACAGGTAAATAAAATTAACAAGCAATTAATAATTTTAAAGATAAAATATTAAATACCTAACTTAAGCAGTGGGCTTGAATTAATTACGTCGTGCCCCTATCATATAAGTCAATTGTCAAATTAATGTTTGCCAAGTTCTACCAGGTGTTACCCAGTATTAATAAAGGTTTAGTCGACGTATCGCTAAGTATTGAACTTGGAACTCTTAAGCGTGCTTAACTTAAACTTGGAAGGGCCATAAATTTTAGTAAACGTATATAGTTTGAACCCTTAAGGTATTAGTAATTTGGGCAATACGTTAAATGTGGTTTTGATGAAATGTGGTCGATATTGCAAGTAAAGAAAATTATTCACTCAAAATACCTCAATTTAGGTCTTATTTTTATTTGTAGTTACCTACATAATCATACTAATATGTATTATAAATGCAAAGGTTTGGATGGATACATAGTTAATACGTATCTCAAAAACGACTTAACAGATCTCAATGAAATTTGGCATAGATGTAGAACATAGTCTGGAAAATCACATCATCATCCACTTGCCTTATCCCTTATGGTCGGCACATTATGTGCTACTCTTCCATACATCTCTATCAGCCGTCATATTTGAATCCACTCCTTTCTTAAGCATATCCTCTTTCACACAATCCATCCATACTTTCTTTGGTCTTCCTCTTCCTTTGTAGCCATCCACATATAATCTTTACACTTCTATAATCTAGTAGATCATATAGATTACTAAGTGTTTGTTAATTCCGCGCAGATTAAGACGCGGGCAAAAGCCAGTTGTACATCTTCAAAATAAGTTGCTCTATGAAACGTACAATTTTTAGTTCTATAGATTACCATGTTATTCATTTTAATGTATATTTAATGATTCAGTAAATAGGGTATCAAAGCTAAGGGTATGTATGTAAGATGTTTGATAATTTAATTACATTGAAACGAACCTTCTTCCTACATTCATTAATTCTTTCCCCAAACTTACCCCAAAGTTAAAAAGCTCTGAGCAATTAGAGAGAACTCGAGTGCCTTCTATATGTATTGAAGCTTTTAAATGTACATGACATGATTATGTTATAAATGCTGTTAGTTTGTTTTAATGAATATGAGAATTTAATTTGATTAATAAAATAGATTTGGTACAGTAATTTAGGGGAGAAAACGCTGTATTTGATGTAAGTTCCAGTAGTATTATATTCTTATAACATCACTAGCTTTCGCCCGTGACTCCGTCCGCGTGGAATTAAAAAAAAAGTGAGTAGCCTATATTCCAGATTATCCTCTACATGTATACTAAATTTCATCGAAATCCGTTCAGCCGTTTAAGCTACAAAATCTAACAAACATCCATCTATCTAAACTTTCGTATTTACTAGTATGAAGTGTGATTAAAAATTAAACATACAGTTTTAAAACGAATAGGATGAATAGAGAGAGGTGTAGATTAGACCTAGAAAGAGATGGATGGATTGCGTGAAAGGTGACATGATGAAGAATGGAGTGATGACTGAGATGACGGATGATAGAGTTATGTAGAGGACAAAAACCTGTTGCGCCGAGTAGAGAGTAGGATATGGAGGAAGATGATGATGAGGATAAATGCGAATTTCAATAATTAAATATTCCAGAAAATAACTACGTATAATTTTAACAGAAATATTTGAATTTATTAAATCAAATTATATTAATTGGATATACTTCTATTAAATTGTGTTTTATTATAATTGTTAGCCTTATATAGTAGTCATTGTGAGGTGAGCAGGGCAAATAAAACTGGCCACTTGTAAATACATTACATTTTCGTGAGAATATGTTTATCTTACACTGTACATTATCAAATAATTGATGGATTCATTTCAATCGTGTTTAACCAATTTTTATTGATAATTTTAAAGGTTTTTGTAATATATTAATGCATAACATTGTTAATATATCTGTACAAAAACATGTTTTTTGTACAATCATTTCAACAAGGGAAACTTACGATAAAAATTCATGTTACCCTAAATATGGGTCATTTAACTTTAGTGGTTAAATTTAAAACCATTCTTTGGATAAAAGTACCTCAAATTACTTATGTAAATATACATCTAGATGGAAAAGTTATTTTTCCAATTGTATTTAATTAAGTAAATAAGTGTTATATAAATTGCCCTACGAAGGCGTTTCGTGTAATCTCGCAAATCAAGCAAGCGGGGGCGTAGGCTGTAACCTTCATTGAAATTACACAACCATTATCCGATTGTTTCGAATAAACTGAGAAAATGCGAAAAGATATCCGTACCGATATGTTTATAGACTTTCTAGTAATCGATTTCGTATTTACGCCTACGGTTTACCATTAAGTGTTACACTTTATTATCTGAAAATAGAATTCTCAGGATTATATAAATAAGACGGTAACATATATTTGTAACAATCTTTGAAGAAAATATGTATAAAAGCGTTAGAGGGCGTTATTTGTGGTAAAAAAAATTACCTACACTGGCCGGTTATAACCGTTAAAAATTTAAATAAAAAAAACTAAAAGCATCACTATTATAGAACACGTTATCCTGGACGAAAACACAACGGCACGTTCGACACCGGCTGGCTTCATTATGCTATGGGCCTTGGGCGGGTTAAAAAAACGTATAGACGGCAGACAGGTAGCAACAGGCCCGGAACGTGTTCGCTTAGGAATCTACGAAAATTGGCGGGAGAAAAAAAAACGTTGAAAAAACCGTCTGCGTTTTTCATGTCTTTGTAAAGGCTGAATGGATAAACGCTCTTTTGGGTTTCTAGGAGCCAGGAATATTTTCAAAGACCTTTTGTGCAGATCTCAAAGATCCTCTTATGATGTCTAAAACTTTGATTTCTTTTGAATCGAAATGAGTGGTTTAATCGCAGGTAAGTATGAGAAGAAATAAGTAAATAAAACACTTAAGATCATTAATGTAATAAATTTTTATGTCATAAAAATGTTATACAAAGGCGAGAATTGAACGTATTGGAGGTTTTTAATTCTTTTTTCTTGACATCTGCCTTCTAGCGGATTTTGTAATTGTCCCCTGTGACAACCCTAGTTGAATGGCCTTTCGCATTAACCCTTATAATTAATTTTTTTATAGCCATAAATTTCATAATTACACATCTTTTTAATTGTTATAACAAACTGAACCCGGCAATTGCAAATAAATACGAATGTGTTATGTTATATGTTAGAGCAAACAAAAACATTTATTTTACACTAGCTGTTGCTCGCGACTTCGTCCCCGTGAAATTAAAAAATAATAAAAGATATAGCCTCTGCTACTCATAGATAAATTACCTTTCAAACAGTATATGAATTTTTAAAAACGGCCCAGTAGTTTTTGAGTTATTTCAATACATACAAAAATACAAATCTCTCTTATATTAATATAGATAAAGATAAAAAAAGACTATTTTAATTTAAATACTTTGTTTAAGAACCTTATCTGACAATCGTTCAAAATTATAACACTATTAGTCCAGTAGTTTAGGAACGTATACGCAACAAACGTACAAACATATATTTTTATAGTTATTAACTAAGTCTACAATAGAAAATTATATTACTTTTATTATAGTTTTGTTTTGACTTTTTATATCCATCGATGTCATTATTCGTGTACAAAACAATTTACTTATTTTCTATAAAAGTTTTCACTTAAGTACAAAGTTTTGTAAAGTTTTTGATCAATCCGAGTCCTTTCTTTGTTTTAACGCTGAAACTCAAATTGTAACTTTATTAGTTTTCAAATCAATGCGTTATTTCTTTTGTTTTCAAATGAAGTTTCACGAGTTTTATTTGTTTTTACTTTGAGGTTAACTGTAAACAAATAAATTTTACCACATATCATTACAATGAAATGATTTTTCATTATGTTTACTCTGAACATTTTAATTAAATTAATTGATATATAAACATTTATAACACTTGCTTTCGACCGCGACTTAATCGTGAATTTAAAAAAACAAGTAGTCTATGGTTCTGCCAGACATTCCTCTACATCTATGACAAAACATCGAAATCTATCGAGTAGTTTAGACTACAAACTCTAAACTTCTGTCCATTAATCTAAACTTTGGCATTCAACCTCTTTTCTAATGTCACCTTTTTTGATTATAACGCCCTCTATCACCTTAAAATTGTACTTTATTTCATAATGACTGTACGGAAGCTTATAATGGTATAAAGCATGTTTAAAAGCATTATAATTTTTACATGTTTCATTTTTCTTTGTTACAGAATATTGCGGCTCGGCTTCGCGGAAGGACGGGGCACACTGGTCGACAATGAATTAGATATCGCGCCAACGATATCAAAACGTAAGTGTACTGTTTTAAGGTTGAATTTACTGTAGCAAATTTTTATTTAAAACTACCTTTTCGCCTTTTTACCTTAAACGTGAGTTAAACTTCGTAACACAATTAACTCTGTAAAGTTGAAGCATAAAAATGCTACATTTAAGGACTCAAGACCAGGTTAACTGGTGTGAACAGCCATTTTAGTAACATATTGTGTACTATGCGTGGAAAATAACATGACAGTCATGTAAGACCTCCCCCTTCATCACTTATAAATTATTTGTACAACGAGCAACTTAGTTAAGCTAATTCGTAATTATTAGTTACTATAGTATGTAAACTTTTTTGTACACTGTACATTGTAGCGCCATCTATCTCAGTTTCTGGTTACTTTTATGACGACGTATTGTAATTCTAATAAGCTTCATTCCTATTGGAATACGAATTCTAATTGTTATATGGATGAGGCATTTTAAATAAAATACTTAGTAATATTTTCTTCGTGTAATACTTTATTAAAAAAAAAAAAAAGATAGTTGTAGATTGTCTGTGTCTACCCTTCTGGGTTACGGTCGTAAGTCATGTTGTTTGTTGTTTTAAAAGCAATGTTAACTTGAATCTCTAACGAATAAATGTGGTATTTCTTTTTATATATTCTCTGTTTGTTTATTTTTATCCCATTGGAACCCAAATATAGTAATCAATAAAGCTATACTACTAAAATATACTTATACAGCTGTTATGAATCGCTAGAACATTAGTTTCCCGACCGTCCGAGGGCACAAAGATCGTGAGGTCACGCGAGGACTTTTGAAGGGCTCGCAAGAACAATGGACAGATAGAGAAGTTTTTTATATTGATTCTTTGTACATGACGGAAAAGGGACAACGTCAATTGAATGAGCAAATGTTTCGTTTCCTAATATAGGGTGAAGTAGGTTTAATATTTTTATTGTATTTCTGTTACAGTGCGAATAACGTTATATAAATCACGCCAAATAGGAATCTGCCAACCCTTCACGGGTAAAGGCGTTACATTTTTATTGCATACTAGCATTTGCCCGCGACTCCGTTCTCGTGGGATTAAAAAACAAAAGTAAGTAGCCGATGCATTTTTCCAGACTATGTTCTAAATCTTTGCGAAATTTCATCCAGATCCATTCCGCCGTTTAGGCTACAAACTCTAACATTCATCCAGCCAACCAACCCTCTAAACTTTAGCATTCGTAATTTAGTTGGTAGATCGTAAATTTAATCAATAAGCTATATTTGCGATAGAATTAAGCCTCGTTAACAATATTGTAATTTATAACTAATGTTTTGTAGCTAACCGCATTCGTATTGTCCGTCAAACCGCAGTCCTATCTACCTCTATCCTATATCCTATCTACCTAATTGGTGGTAAGATCCAGGTTGTGTAGAATTTCGTTTACATATGCATTTAAGATGTTTGCTAATGTTTCAAAATATTTCCAACACCATATTTTCTTTGGGTTTCCTAAAAACATTCTGTGAACAGTTAGATGCGATCTAATTTAGTCCCTTTCCCTTTCTACGCTTTTCTTAGTAAAAGGATTGGAAAAGAAAGTGGATTTGATAGTGGAGGAGTTGTATAGGAAGGGGAAATATCCTCTTAATGTCTCCTTCGTCGATTAAAAGTAGGCAACACATCTGCAATTGCGGATGTCTATGGGTAGCTTCGCCATTTCGGCGAATTTCAGAAGGCCGCTTGCTCTTTTACCGTATAATATATAACAAGATTATTAATTCATGCCTTACCATCGATAGCTACGTATCCAACATCAAAAGCATTCGTTTAATATAAACAATATCGACCGACAAAATTTAGCATTGAATTTATTTTTACTTGATCAAATAGCTTCATTATGCCCACGAACGTTTGCACGATACACGTTGTTGAAATTACCAACGAGGAATTTTCCATTCCCCAAACAGTCCATTGTCGGGCAAATTTCTACTGTTATAATAATTATTCAAACAAAACATTGAGATCGGGTTTTCATGTTTACTTAGGTCTTGATTGTACAATTAATGTGTTAACTAATCCCAATAGAAATTAAGTCTCAAGTATATGAGTATAAGGTTTAATTTATGTTGCCAGTGCTGTAAGGGTTATGTCTATGGTGCTTTTAGTCCTCCAATTTTGACTCTAGTTTGGTTTATCTTTTTCTACTTGTATATCTTCATATACTCTTTAGCACGACGAAAGTAAATAAACTTAAGTAACAATTTTATCCACTATTCCTTTTTTAAATCTGTAAAAGCGACTGTAACTTTTTAGGGCCTTTCCCACCATAGCCTGATAGAGGCATAGATAGCGTAAAATTGACGACAGATAAGGTAACAAAATCCGATATTTCCGTTACATACTTAACACGTTGGATTGTTATCAGACAATTTACAATTTGGTGGGACAGGTCCTTAGTCTTTATTTTTAATGTTCGTTAGTAATTAAAAATAATTAGGCCATTTTTACAAACATATTGTCAAAATATGCGCGTCAAAAATTAAAAAAAAAAACAACCTAATTCCGAATATAACTAACATTTCTATTAAACCACAATAAAGCTCGTATTACGTGTCGTTGATTTTGTATAGATTTTTTTTACATATTTATAGTAAAAGCATTTAATCTAGGGCTTGTGTCTGGTACGTTTTGCATCTGGTTTAACGCGCATAAATGGAAACCGCACAGACAGACTGAATAGAATCGTACGAATAAAGAAAGCTCAGCAATGCATTCAGAAAAAACTAGCGTAAACACGTTAAATAGAGTATTTAAAAGTAAAGTAGTTATTTTAGTTAATTTTATTTATGGAAAAATATTAATATAAAGCATTCCTCGAATAAATAGTAATACAAATAAACTAACTGCTGGTAAAGTCTTTAATTGGTCAAACTAAAATATCGCACAACTGTTTAGTCTCGCTTTGATTCTTATAAGCTTAAGAGGAGGTACAACTACTTGATTTTTGACCGACTTCCCAAAAGAAGGAGGTACTCAATTCGTCTGTATGTTTTTTTATGTGTTACGGCATAATTAGCTGTGCAACTAAACAGTTGAATGGGCTGCGAAACAATTGACAATCGCACTTTTATGCGATAGTTCAGTCAAAAAAAAAACATACAGACGAACTGAGTACCTCCTTCTTTTGGGAAGTCGGTCAAAAATATGCCGTCTCTAATATACTTACAAAATATATCAACGGTATTAAAAATACTTGAGTCCACAAAAAATATTTTACTACTAACTTTACACACAAACAAGCTTTCGTTTTCAAGTAACTTTGTATGGTTAAGTTTTTCTAGGCGGTTCTTTTACTGCCGTTTTGATACTGAACAGATGTTATAGACCGAACGGTTTTTTTTTCAACTGTCGGCTCTTTCCTTTCATTCCACGAAAATAGACTTGGAACGTTAGCGGAGTTTTTTTGTTTTCATGTATACGGTAATAAAATGAGTATATAAAGACTGGTCTCTTTATTTCGTTTAGTAATTTGAAGTATGGTTTTACGAAACAAGGAAGATCGATTTTCAATTAAATTGTCTCTTAATATTATAAATGTATAACTCGAAGTCTGAGTCTAATTCTCAAAGTGATTGAGATGGAACCTCTGGGGTCCATGAATTGTAAAATTTGGGGTCTAGTCGTTTAATTGTGCTTTTATGTAAACCACCAAAATCTTTAAGTTCTACTACATTTCGTTTGAATGTTTCTTGTCACAACCGATATCAAAAAAATTTAAACTTTTAAAGTTGTCCAAAAGGAAAAAGTTGGGGAAAATCTGGTCTAGATGGATGGATGTTAGCAAGTAACTCCAAAACAGTTCAACAGATCTGAATGATTGGCATGGCACATAGATTACAGTTAAGAATAGAAGCGCATAGTGTACTTCCTATTTTTTTTATACCACGCACAGGAAGTCGCGGGCAATAAATAGGCTGTATAACATACAATGCAAAAGGTCGATAAATCATTAGAAAACAATTGCAATTAAAACAGTTATATTTTAGCAGCCTTAAACAGTGTAAAATTTGCGGGATGTAAACACACTTTTTAAAAAATGAAATTGTCGCTAAAAATTTTAAAAATACCGTATAAACGAAAATGGAATCAAGCCGGCGTAAAATCCCCTGGAACTAATGCAAATATCCATTCATTTTAAATGCGAGAGATTTATTCCACTTGCGAAAAAAAAATTAAAAGCTAATTAGAAAAAAATAGAAGCGTCGAGGGTTGAATATGAAATATGGAGACGTTAAACCATACAATTTAAAAAAGCGTTCGCTTGCAGTGAATGAAGGTAGAATATGCTTGTATTTTCCCCCCAGAATCCTTTCAAAGGCATCGCTGTAAGTTTGTAATCATTTTCAGTTCGCATACGCGGTAGATTGCGTTTACAAGAAAAATGTCAGACGACGATTTAAAAATATATGAATTTCTTCTTTCAAAGTTCTATATTCAGTTCAATTTAGATTTAGAAAGTGATATATGTTTGTTAAATTCAGAGTAGTTTAATAATTACTTATATAGTTCGTTAACGTAACTCTTACTGAATCTACACTAAACTACCTTACATATTATAATAAACACGTTAACCTCTTAAACCATTTTTGTATATTTATCATCACCACCTTATACGTCCCCACCGAGGTGCTCGTATAGTAGGGTGACTAGGCCATAGTCACCCTACTATACGAGCCACGCTGGCCAAATGCGGATTGGTTGACTTCACAATTATCTTTGAATTTCTACACCGATATGTGCAGGTTGCATCACGATGTTTTCTTTCACCGTAAGAACGCCAGGAAAATTATGTACATATGAAAATTCGAAAAATCGATAATCACATTGGTACATGGCGGGATTCGAACCCAATACCTGTAGATTACAAGTCAAGTGCTTAAACCACTGAGCCACTGACGCTGTTAGCTCTTTTGTAGGTTCATTTATTTTAAATAAATTCAATCTAAGGATCGCAATTGTAATCACAAAACAGA